GGATCATTTGGTACCGGGCCGCAAAGAAAATAAAAATAAAATAAAAATGGCGGCTTTCTTCGCCTTCGGTGAATGCTGCTGGGATCAGGGATCAAGGACACAAATGAAAGAAGGGGAGGGAGGAAGCAACCAAAGCCTGTCCTGCTCTCCGGCTTAGCGGCTTCAGTTTCCTCCCGCCTTGTTCCTCTCTCAATCTCTCTCTCGCTCCTCCACCAGCCCAGGAAGAAACTGCTTCAAAGAAGCCGGCAGGGTGGCTTTTCCTGTTGGCACAGCTCCTCCGAAGCGCCCGTTCACCCCCACCCCACCGCCCGCGGTTCAATCCAGTGCTCCGTTCTGCCTGCCTGCCTGCCTTCGTTTCTGGTTGTTTTGGAGCAGCTTTGGCTGAGAATAATAACTATTCACCTCTTTTACTCAGCCGAAGCTGCTCTGAAACAACCAGAAACGAAGGCAGGCAGGCAGGCAGGCAGAACGGAGCACTGGATTGAACCGCGGGTAGCGGGGTGGGGGTGAACGGGTGCTTTGGAGGAGCTGCGCCGACAGGAAAAGCCACCCTGCTGGCTTCTTTGAAGCAGTTTCTTCCTGGGCTGGTGGAGGAGTGAGAGAGCGACTGAGAGAGGAACGAGGCAGACACCTGAGGGATAAGGCTGAGGGAGGGAGGGAGACACCTGAGGGATGAGGCTGGGGGAGGCAGGGCTGAGAGGCGGGGCTTCTCAGCCATCCTGTAGGGACTTGTCCTGAGCCTCCCTGAACTTGGTGGTTTGCTAGCAGACGTTTTATTACCCAACTAGGTAACAACATCAGATGTTATCTAGTCAGGTAATGAAGCATCTGCAAGCAAACCACCTAACTCGGACTCCTCCCCATCCCCCCCTCCTTGAAAAAGTCCCCCCCTGCCGGTCCTTGAAAAAGTATTTCTGCATGAAACTGGTCCCTGGTACAAAAAAGGTTGGGGACCACTGTTAATAATACAAATCATATTCTATGTCTCAAATTATATTATGTAAACTTTTATAGAATTTTTCTTGGGCTCCATTGGGGGCATAAATTTCAACTTTCATTATTTTTTGTGGTTTATTATAATGTCAACTATTAATATTCTCCCTTCTTTGTCACTATATATTTGTTTGGCAGGGACTATGTCTTTAACGCATAGCACTACCCCTTTCTTTTTCTGTTGATCTGGTGATGCAAATAAATTCCCTAGCTTTGGTTGTTCTAGTAGATATCTTTGGCTATCTTTTATATGGGTTTCCTGGAGCACTATTATATCCATCTTCTGGTATTTTAGTTTATTTTTAAAAAATTGTCTTTTCATTGGAGAATTTAGTCCGTTGATATTCTTTGACCAAATCTTACATTCTTCTCCCATTATTTTACTTATGCCTTGGCCTTGTGCTTCTGGTTGCTCTGATTTCTTTGGGCTCTTCGATTCTTCTTTCATCATTCTCTACTCTTTCTCTTTCTCCTCTTCCCTTTATCCGGAGTTTATAGTCTTTCCCTTTCATTTTATTGTGTCATATTCTTCTTCTTTGTCTCTTGATTCTTCTTCATTGTTGAAATGCTGTTTGTAGAATTCCTCAGCTTACTCAACTGTGCCAAGTCTGTATCTCCTGTCATGCCACGTCACCATGATACTCTCAGGTGTCAACCACCTAAAGTTCATGCTGTGCCTATTCAATCTTGACGTCAGGAATTGGTAATTTCTTCTCAAGTTCCTCATCCCTTTTGGTACCTGCTTCAAAATGATTATCTGTTTGCCTCTATATTCTAGCTGCTTGTCTCTCATTCTATATAGAATTTCCTCCCTAATTGATTTTTTGATGAACTTAATATGGACTTCTTTTGGGAGATTGTGTCTCCTTCCATAATTAGTTTGCATCCTGTAAATCTCATCCATTTCCAAAATCATTTCTTCTTTTCTCCATTCTGAGAGCTCCTGCTTAGAAGATCTGCCATTGTATCAGGTAGATCTTCTCCCTTTTCTTTTGTGACATTCCGGAAATGCAAGTAGTGGGCCGCTCTCTCGACTTCGAGAAAGATCACTGTCACTTCCAACTCTTTGTTGGCCAGAGTTAGTTTTTCATTTATTTCCTCAACTTCCCTTTCTTCCTTTTCCATTCTTTGTTCCATTTCCATCAGTTTCTGTTCATTTTTGGTTATTTGCTGCTGGAAAGCTTCAAATTTTCCATCTATTATCTGTACTCTCTCTTTAAGTTCCCCTGTGTCATTTCTCACCTTGCCAATCTCTCTTTTCATCTCTGTGTAGTTTTTATTCATCGCCTCTTGCATATTTTGGAGCATTGCTTAAAGATCTTTAAACCAATTTGATCATTGTCTCTGTAGCATGTCCTCTATAGATTTTTGAGAAGAGGGACTGGATGCCGTTGATGTCTGCAAGGTGGTTTTCTTTCCTGCACCTATTTTTGTTAAGTTCGTTGTGCTTGTCTTCAGAATTTCTTCAGAAAGCTACTATTTAGCAATAGTTTCCACTTCTTACTTTCACCTCTGTACCCTCCAGTGTTTATTCTCTCAATTATATCTTATCCTAAATCACTATATATGTATTGATGTGTCAATATAACCTCTATTTCTATTAATCTGATTCCCCCCCCCCCAAAGAGGCCTTCAGTTGATTGGTTGATCTTTGGGATTTACTTTCACAGTGGTTTTATCAATTTCTCTTTATAATATCTTTTACTTATCGACTCTGTTTCTTACCATTAATGATATATAGCACCAAAGCCCTTTAAAATTCTTATAAAATTTTATAAGAATATTATACTTTAAAAAGAGTTTAAAAAAGGTTTTAACCATAAATAATAAACCAATAATGGCAACAGTAAATGAAAATAATAATATTCACTTGTATCCACTTATTGTAGTTAATTGATTATGGCAACTTAGATACTGCGACAGGCAATGCTAACAAGTATAATACGGAAAATCACTATAATGGTAGTACTATATAACAATGTGTTATGTGCAAAACATAATCTATATGATACTATTAATTAATTTGTAATTATTGAATTAATCTATAATGACAATTTTAAAGTGTATAACAATAATTGGTAATTCAAGATTTAGTAAATTCACCATTTCAGAAGTATTCCAGTTGTTCCAAAACCTTTATAATCCAATATTTAGGTCCATTATAGTCCAGTATTGTCCAAAAAAGAAACCTTTTCATTTTCAGTAATGTTTCCTTTGATCTTTTTCTTCTTTGGCCAGCAGATGTCACATTTATCTAAATCTCACAGTCTAAAAATACAGTGTCATTTCCCTCAGGGAGACTCTATTATGCCTCTTAGTTAAATCATTCAATTATCCACTTGTTCAGAACTGTCTGTTCTTAGCCCTAATCTTCTTCTTACGATCCCTTTCTGCAGCGCAATAGCTCTGTTTTCCGCCCACAATTTTTTTTACCACTGTGGGGGTTTACAGTTTTCCACTGGCAGCTGATATCCTGGCTTTTCCCTCTTTACAATTTCTTCTGCCCACCGATCACTTGTTCCTTCTTCCATTTATCTAGGGCTTACTCCTTTCTCCAGACACTGCTTTGCATTTTAGTTAAGTGCTCCCTCTCTCCACTTCACTTATAAGCCTGGGAATCTTATTGTCAGATTTGGTCCACCGTCGTTCTACTAGGTCATCGCTTTTTTCATCCCTGCTGTCAAAACCTCCAGTTGGCCATTGCTGGGCAACTTCTTCCGAGTCCACTCACTTTGGGTATTTCTCACTGTGGGCTGCCGCACACAAACAACCCCACCTTTGGCTGTATGGACAGATATCTCCATCCTACATAACTGCTGATCCAGCATCCGCAGGACTCTTCGGAGCCGAAGGTAGTCCATC